CATTCTGCAAACACCTGCCTTCATTCGATGCGCTTGCTCCAACTCCTTTGTATATCCTCCTCTCGGCCACATAATTACCGGCGATATACGTGTGCGAGGAGATGCCTTCTTCAGTTTAGGATGCAATTTCCGGATACCTCGAAATCTGCACCCTACTGAGGTCTTTAATCACTTCGCCACTACAATCACCGCATATATTTGCTTGCTTGTCCGGAAATATCGCCCAGAACCTTCAAGCGCTATGTTTTACCGCGACGATGTACTGTTTCGCGCTCGCCACCTCCTAGACAGTTTCTGTATTAATGGTCATCCTTTTCACAATGTCACCTCCTCCACCCTTTTGGCTCGTCCTCAACGTCAACGACGCCTACGAGTGATTACGCCTGTCGACAAAGCACCTAGCAATTTCGCTTTCATCTGCAGGTCACTTTACACAAACAAGCTTAGATAGGAACTAGGAATACTAGACAGTGGTGACGTTATTGGTAATGACACCTATAGCCTCGTTCATGATAATGCTCCTCTTATTCTAGCTCGCCACAGTCTCCTCCTTCAGAGGTTTCAGCTGCAATTGGATGATGAAAACGAGGTCCTACTCAGAGTCTATACTGTGCCTAAGTTCCATAAAATCCCCTACAGCTTTCGATTTGTCGCTTGCGTCGTACGGTCCAGTATTAAGCCTTTAAGCGTTCTTCTCTATCGTGCACTCCAATTTTTTCGTCGACACCTCTGCAATTACGCATCGGTACTAGAGCGCAGGCTACGCAAACGCCTCCTTTACAACGTTCGAAACTCCAGCGTGGTAATCGCATTCGTTAACGGATGTGGCTTCGTTCAGCATTTTCATACTGCTGATTTCTCAACTTTGTTTACGAAACTGCCTCATCATATTATTTGCGATGCGCCCGGTTATCTTTTCTCCTTGTATTTTCACAATGCCCATGCCGACACTTTGCATATCACCACTAAGAATATTCATTACGTTAACCACGCAAGATCATTTGGTCATGGTACAGTCTATCGTTCTACGGAAAACTGCAGTATCCTCCGCACGGTAGTTGGTAAAGCCTGTGTGCGTTTCGGCGTTTACATCTTCCGACAAGTTAAGGGCATCCCTATGGGAGGTAATGTAAGCTCCGATATTGCTGCCTTACCTTTTTGCTCCTACTTGAATTTAAGTTCAGCAGGATCCCCAGTAATCCTCCACTCCTTCTTTGTCGATACGTTGACGACCTGCTCATGCTTAACTATCCAGATTCTCGTCCACTTCTTCTGGACTTATACGGTCAGTATCTGGACATTGAAATCACTGGTTCCGATACTTCCGTTGACTACTTTTATATAACTTTTTCCTTAGATGAAGAAGCCCGCATAGGTTCCACACTTTATTGTAAAGGTGACCACTTCACTTTCCCTATCAACAAGTATTCTTCGCTTCACAGCAACGTGCACCCATCGGTCCATAATGGTACGATTTACAGTCAACTTATAAGATGCTTGCGCATTGAGTCCTCCCCTCAAGGATTCATATGCTTTGTTCACCGTCTGCTTTTTGATTATTCTGCTAAAGGCTTCCCTCCTGATCGTCTTCAACGTCTACTTGGTGCTTTCATATACAAAAATAGACTCCATTTTGTCAAATACTCCCCTCCCACAGTACCACATTGCCGCCGTCTGGTACACTACCCATCCACATAACCCAAGCTCTTTCCGGTTTATTATGTATTCCACGTTGCGTTATCGATTCACCCTTTCCCTTGGACTACATATCCTTTTTCTTATTCCAGACATGGCCACCGCTAAACGAAGCAAGAGTTCTGGCGACGACGTTTCGAACAGAAAAACCTCCGCTACCGAAGTTTGCTTACATTCTCACTTAAACCTTTTTATACATAAGATTTCTGCTACTTCACTCCACATCTCCTTTCACTTCCTCCTTCTTTCTTCCTTTTTTTCTTCTTCCTTCTTTTTTCTTTTTTCTTTCTTCTCCCAGTGCGTCCGTCATACTGACGAGGTCCAGTCGCAGTGTCGAGTTAAGACGTATATGACTTAATGGACTGAAACGTCTTATCTCGCTCTTACCTTCAACAATCTACACTACTGCTTTCTCCTAACTCTTCCACACTCTGCCATCTGCAATTCCAGAGTTAACCTGGAGGCTGCAATTTGCTTAGTAAATCTTCCGCAGAGTAACTCTGCGCTCAAGTAGAACAGTACCTTATGGAAATCTGTTTTCACACTGTGAAGTTTCTGATGTCAGGCTGGACTAGTGGGATTGTGTGCGCTCACATCTTCGCCAGTTTGTCGCATGAGATAAACGAGTTCTGTTCTAAAGCTACTGTTGAAGTAGTGCATGAACTTGTGATTAGCTAGCTCACACGGTGTGTCACCTCTGTTTGTAGAAGTGATAGGCCGCGCAAGCGAGACTCGTAGCCAGGCAGGCAGGCTGGGTCTCACCACTATCCAGATAAACCGTACAGTCTCTGCTGTTGATGTTGTGGGACGCCTCATTGCCCATATTAGTACAGGGCTGTCCCGTTCGGATTTGCGACCTATTATTAAGTACGGAAATATAACAGTAATTGTAAGTCTGCGGTTTGCCTCTTTTTATAATCCTTACTGTACAAAATTATTCTGTGGATGTGTGCTGCATGCTTCAGATGCCCGCATGGGACCTTGTCAATTCTTGCATACCGAGTTGAATGCACACAAAAGTGACATTTACATTTTTTCAAGCAAAATTTTTCGGATTTAAATTGAAAATTTGAAGTCTTCATGTGCATTGTTGAATAGCGAATGCGCAGAGAAAAGTTGAATGACGGCAGCGGTGCCAGTTCGATCCCAGGAGTCCTTTATCGACGCTCTGCATGGACCTACCGAAGTGGCCGCTAAAGTGGAACGGTTGCTTATCGAAGCCATCAATAAAGCTGAGATGGTAGTACTGTTTCACCATCTTACTTCGGAAGCAGGAACAGCTCGAGAACTTGGAATAGACACCTCTACTTACACAAATTTTTTAGAAAAAGTCTGCGTACAATTTTGGCTCTGAATGTTAGAAACAGCCGTCAAAGACCTTACACTTTTTCCTTTCCGTATTTTTATGCATTTTTGCTGTGTAGCGCTATAGCAGCGCTGTTGCGGAAGAAAATTATAGCGGAATCGAATTCCGATTCCGAGATTCAGAGAGAAGAATTCGGTGGCTCAGAGGCTGCAATAATTCTTCTGTCTTATTCGTCCGGGCTATTCGTAATCCTAATGTAGTTTCCACAAAATCAACTATTTATTCGTTACCTCAGGTATAAGCAGAAGAATGTCCAACGTGCCACATCAAAAGAAATATCGTCGTGCAGCGGCGACAATTCCAGTATTCAGCGGCCGAAAACATCAGCACTCTGGTTCCAAATCGGATCCCACGGTCTTGCCGAAACCGCCACCTCGTCCTCGACAGTAGTTCCCAACTCCAGTCCGGTCGCCGCTCCACTCTCTGTTTTGTCAACATGTCTTATGTTTGACAAAACATCACATGTACAGGTTTAAGAAAACATCATGAAAACATACCACCATATTTCCATATTCGCGACAAAATAAGCAGTGATTAATTGCTGAGAACTAAAACACGGACATAAATCACCGATATCTGAAAAATCAAAACACGGACATAAATCACCGATATCTGAAAAATCAAAACACGGACATAAATCACCGATATTTGAAAACATCGCTTAACGCGACAAGCGCTGTAGTGCTGCTACAGGCACTAAAAATGCATATTGCCGAGAGGTCGTGTGTGTATATATATGTGCATGTGTCCGGACTTCATGCAAAAAACTAGTAGCCCTCTTGCAAGTCCGTGCGGCTCTGTAATGCACCATCTCTATCCCAACCAACGTCCTTCTTCCTGCATGCTGGAAGGGGTCAAAACTCGGCCAATATGAGCCCAAGTGTTAGACTACAGCGCAAGGATCATTTCTTCTATTAGCGACCTGCGAGTTTAGTGCAAAAACGCATGATCGCACTGACAAGCCTGGTGCGTTTCAATTTGGTTTACAGGTAACAACTGGGCAAGTGGCTCAGTTTGCACATGAGCCTTTCAGAGTTGCGCTTGGCATGTAGCACAGTTACTAGCCTCAGGCAGTAACAACCGGTGCGATCTTGATGATCTATGAAATTTTGATGAGTGCTCAAGTCCCTGCTACTACATATTGCGTAAAAGCAAATTAGTGTGGGGTTGTTCGCCTCAGCTTTACAGTGTGAAAAAATTATGCTTGCATTTAATAAATTTCCGGCCAACGATCTGTATAAATTTATGAGACGCGTTGAAAGTTCAGTTTCATGCAGGCTTGCTAAAAAATGAAGTTCTGGAGAATCAGGCCCCAACAAAAATGGAGACGTCGGGTATTATCGACCTCAGTTTATGAATATTTATGTCTTTGATGCTACAGTATTTGGAGCAGTCTAATTCTCATAAACTACAGAGAAGTATAATTTAAAGCACAACTCTGAGGCCAAGCTTGGTCATGCAGTACTGGTCGCGTGTGTGATATGCTTTGTTACTTTCATCAGCTGCTAGTTTATTGTCGTATTCTTGCTCGCCGTCGATGCGCTAGGGAGATTTTCACCTACATTTTAAACATGCTACAACCTTAATACTTTGTGCAAAAGAGAATCCTTGCGCCACTGCCTTGCACAGCTACTATTTAATGATCGCTTTTTCCCAGCTGTTGTATCACCTTCGTGCCAAATTGTCCGCTCAGCTTTCTTTTTCCCGGAATGCCACTGCCTTAACAATATTACTCACACCACACTAGAATCAAAGTTTTTATCGCATATGTGCTGCAGCTTTTGACACGTGCCATGTGTTACTCCACACTTAAGTGCAGTGCCATTGCAAATGTCGATGCAACGTTACTGTAGAAACATTGTGGCAGAAAGAAAATGTAGTTCTCAAAAATTAACTTGCACAGGCACTCAAACAACTTCCACAACAAGGAACAGAAGTGATGGTGTCGACGAAGGAAGCTGGCCCCGAGCAAGGTTCCCAGGAGCAGGCTCATCCGGAAGTGCTTAAAAAGCTGCGGCGAGGAGAAACCGGTTCCTGTTTCAAAACACGATTTATTTAACTTTTCAAATTTAAGTGCTGTACATCTATGCGCGCTTTATCAGTCTATCACTAATTAACTTACAAAAAATCACTTCTTAAACTACTTTTAAAAAAACTGACAGGACATGTAGCACGACCGAAAAAACAGCGCCCAAAAGCAGCAGCAGCAGCACCGCCACCACCACCACAGCCGCCGCCACCATCAGCACAAGCCCCACGGCCACCGCCAGCACAAGCATCACGGCCACCACCAGCTTCATCGGCACCACCAGCCTCATCGTCACCACCAACATCATCAGCCGAGAAACGTGAAGCCGCACGATCCGTATCGCTGATACTGAATGAACGACCTGGCGTGCACTACTTCTGTTGCGACCGATTCTTCAGATGCGGCGAACGTTGCTTGGTAATAATACCAATGCTTACTAAAATGTTGCTCAGATTCTAGGTGATCAAAAAGAAGGAAAAACTGACTATCTAATGCTCCATGATAACGGTTGTTCCGGCCGAAAAACCCGACTTATTTAAAAAGATAATGGCACTGCTAAGACCAACAGTGCAGTGCTCAAAGGGCGAGCATGGTGCAGTGGCAAATATGGCTGCTCTCATGAGAAAGGTAGAAGGCTCGACCCCGTCAGCAGGACATCCCATCTGTCCGAAACTGGTCCATTTCTGCGGTAAACACGGACACATGCGAGCCAGCCACTGTCAGTTTCGTTTCTAGCAACTGTTAAGGGACAATCGCTAGTAATGCTGCAAGTATGTAGCTGCCTGTGGCTCTGTGGTATCGCATGGCCTGCACTTACGGGAGAATTTTGATCCGAGCATGATAGCTGCAACTAATAGCTGCACTGCGCTGCATGACAGATGCACTGCACAACTATACTTTCAGATAGCGCGTGAAATCTGGCCATCGGATGGAGGCTCCATTGAGCTGAATCGCAAAGAACTGAAACGATTTATCCTGGAAAATGAAGCCAAAAGGTATGTACGGAGTGAACACGGAGAATAATGCAGAGTTTTTATGCGTTTTTGCATATATGCAAATTGCAAAAACGCATAAAAACTGTGTCTGTGTGTTCACACTTTTTGTCACCCTTTTAACTCGAAAACCAGAAAAGCTAGAAGGCTGAAACTTTAGGAGTATGTGCCAATATCATGCGCAACCCTTCCTTTTTAATTTCATCCCCCGCGGACGCCTGGGCGCCGCGTACGAACGCTTTAAAAAAATGCAAATTTTTTGGCGGAAAAGCGGTCTCGGGAACCAAATGAGCTAAGTGGCTGAAACTTTATAGGGATATTCCCTGTTCATGTACTAGCTAAAGATTTCAAATCCAGCTCCTAGGTATGCGTGGCACTCACTTAAAAGGGTATGAAAATTTTAGGAGAAAAATTGCTAACTCGGGTACCAGGAAAGCTAGAAAGTTGAAATTTTGGAGGAATGTTCCCTATCCAAGTACAACTCAAAGATTTCAAATTCAGCCCCAAGCTATACGTGGTACTCACGTAAGGGTTTACAAAAGTTTCTGCAAGAAAATTGTTAACTCGGAATCAGACGAGCTGGGAGGCTGAAATTTTAAGAGGATGTCCCCTGTCCACGTGCAATTTAAAAATTTCAAATTCAGCTTTCCAGGGACGTGGAGTACCTACATAAGGACATGCAAAGATTTGGCAGGAAAATTGCTAACTCGGTAACCAGAAAAGCTGGAAAGCTGAAATTTTGGGGGAATGTTCCGTGTCCAAGTATAACTGAAGTATTTCAAATTCAGCCTTGAGTTATGCGTGATTTTTATGTACGGGCACTTAAAATTCTTAGCGGAGAAATTTCTCACTCAACAACTAGGTTGCTTTTAAAGAACGATTGTTAAATGGAAATTGTACATTTGCTTTGTAAAATTTGTGGTGATTTATGCTAGTGATCGCAAAAGGTAGGTGTAAAGCAACAGCCATTCATGCAGTTAATGACCTG